TTTTGAATGACACTAAAGGCGTGGAACATTGGGTCGCCTGCCATTGGTTCAATTATTTCCTCGCACAGACATTTTTGGAATGACATTACACTTGTGAAATTATTTTTCCTTTTCCTGTGGGCACAATTTTTCTCCGTCTGCTGATTATTTCGAATCACACTAAAGGGGTGGAACATTGGGTCGCTTCCCATTCTTTCAATTATTGCCTTGCACACACGTTTTTGGATTGACATTATACGTGTGAAATTATTTTTCCTTTTCCTTTGGGGAAATTTTGTCACCGTCTGGTAATTATTCCGAATGACACTAAAGGGGTGGAATATTCGTTTCTTTTTCGTTTGTTCAATTATTTGTTTGCACACACAGGTTGGGCATGCCATTACACGTGTGAAATTATTGTTCCTTTTCCTTCGTGCAAAATGTTGCCTCCTTTGATAATTATTCAGAATGACAGTAAAGGGGTGGAACATTTGTTCCTTTTCTAGTCTGTCAATTATTGCCTTGTACACAAATTTTTGGAATGACATTACACGGGTGAAACAGTTTCCCTTTTTCTCTCGGGAAAAATCCATCTCCGTCTTTTAATTATTCCGAAGGACACTAAATGGGGGGAAGATTTGTTGTTTTTTCATTCCGTCAATCATCTCCTTGCACACACATTTTGGGAATGACATTAGACGTGTGAGATTATTTTTTCTTTTGCTGTTTGCAAAATATTGCCTTTCTTGGTAATTATTCAGAATGACACTAAAGTGGTTGAATATTTGTCCTTTTTCCATTTTGTCAATTATTTTCCTGTACACATATTTCTGGAATGACATTACACGTGTGAAACTACCCTCCCTTTTTTGGTGTGCAAAATATTACACCCACCGATAATTATTCTGAAGGAGTTTAAAGGATCTGAACATGTGATTTGTTCGCTGCTTTATTATTTCTTTGGCACCCGAATTCATGGAATTAATTTACATGGACGGAATATTTCTCTGGTGGCTTCCGTCTAATTTCGCTGTTTGGGGAAGATCTGCACTAAGATTAGACTGTCTGAGCAGGCGCCTTTGCCTCCTCCGTCTCATTCTTCTTTGGAGTTGTCATGATTCATACGCAATTAAATCTGCACAAAACTTCCTCCAACTTTTGCTCATCATCTTGGCACCCCGAAATTTCTTGGAATTAAATTAACCGTATGGTATATTGCCTCCTTGTTATTTGGTTAATCTTCTGTTGTCATTTCGATGCAGGTAATACAATTCATGGAGTCAAACATCCCTCCGCCTGTTGGTTGTGTTAATCTCTTTTCCTAAAGGATTCTATGGAATGAAATCTTCCGCGCGGAACATTCTTCGCTTCCTTCTTCTTCCCAATTAATTGGCCGCTATGGGAGGGGTTGGAATAAAATTAAACGTATGAAGAATTCTCACTCTCCATTTCCTTTTAACGAGTTCCTGCCCTGTGAAATTTCTCAACAATTTTAAGGGGAGGTAACACTGACTTTCTTTGGCCATCCTAATTTTTCCGGCTACTGCAATATATGTAATAAAATTACCCGCGGGGAAAACTCGCTTCTTTTTTTTTTTGGGCAATTATTCCTGCTATAGTAATATATGTAATAAAATTACCCGCG